ATATCTGTCAGGATTTCAGGGGCAGGGGACATCGCTACATGGATCATCATGCCACTGGCGGGGTATCTGTCGGCACTGGCGGGTATCCGCAGCGGATAACAGATATCTAGAGACCATCTCTATCTCAGTGCTTCCTTTTTTTTGGAGCTTAACATTCATTGGTCCAACAAACCTCTGCTATCAGCTTAAACTAAAGCAAAATACATTGTTTTTGCGCTGTTGTCACTATATAAATGTCAATTTGTTTGGGGGGGGTGGAAAATAGGTCAATTTCATGGGGCTTTTTTTACAAAGTGACTCAGGAGTAAAAATTAAGCTAAAATGAGCTATTTTAGCCAAAAAATAAAAATGCCTCAAATGAGCTAAGATTAATTTTTGAATGCTTGAGGAATTGTTATTTTTGGGCCAAAATAGCTCATTTCAGCCTAATTTTTGCTCCTGAGTCATTTTTTAAAAAAAGCCTCAGGAAATTGACCTATTTTCCACTACTCAAATTGCCATTTTTTCCTGGGGCAAAACTGGTATTTTTTGTAGTGACTACACTGCGCTACAGTGCACTTTAGAAGTTTTGGGGCCTTTTTTGATGTTAAAAGTGCTGTAGTGCATCATAGTGGCACTAATAGTGCCCTAATACTACAGGTTTGGTGCACTGTTTTGAGGGCTGCTACACTAACATTAGTGGGCTGTTTAGCACAGCAGCCCAGCATTGGTTCACATTTGGAATTTTCCAGTGTTTATTGAACCTCAGAAATGCATAAAATAAGCTACATAAATAGTTTTCACAACTCACATCATTGCAATTTATCCAATCAGGAAGCATGGAATATTTTCTTTGAGGAGAAAGAAAAACTCTCGGTAACATGTAGTGTGTTGGAACTTGGAATTGTTCCCTCTTTGGTGCTCTATCAGCCCTCACTCTCTGCTCCCGTTCCTGCTCTCTTTCTTCCCGCTCTCACTTGTCTTTTTTTTCCTTTTCCTATCTGAATCCCTTCTCTATTCTCAATTCCCTTTCTTCCAATCATTCCAACATCTTCCTAATACTCCTAACCACAACTGAAACACAACTATGTAAAACTCTCAAATTCAAGACCTAACCCACAAGTCAACCATCAATCAATTGACTTAAATGATGACTTGGCCTTGATCCCTTCACTAAGCGCCAGAAGCTCCTCTCATTAATAATGCTCAATCTATTCCCACTTCCTCATCAACAATCACCTCAGCCAATCTGCTCAGCCTTAGCTCCTCTCAACACTCAACTCTATCCAAAATTCTGGTCCTTCAATTCCCCTTCCATACTTGCCTTGTCTTATCTTCCCTCATCTATCTTCTGTCCCTGTTCTTGCTTTTCGAGCAATCCTATTGATCTCAACATCGTCTTGACATCTACTCAATTCAATCATCAACTCTTCTCATGAGTGCTCTGAACTTATTGCTCAAGATCTTATATTGGCTATTGCCAATTTGGCAAGAAAATCAAAGCCAAATCAACTTGATTCTTGTTCTCATCATTGTGTTGACATGTTTGTTTTTTTCTATTCTCATCTTTTTAAAGCTTGTAAGACTTGTACTTCTTTGATCTGATATAACTCAGTCTGTCTGTTCTGATTCCTATCAAATCTAACTATTGTGGTAATGTATTCTTTTTTTTGACATATTATTTTCTCATTGTCATTTCTGATTGTTCACATCTTCTAATGATTTTTGCTTTTAGTAACAGTGAAAACAACAGTGAACCAGTCTCTCAAAAACTCAATCATCACTCATGTCTGAAACATTGAACAACACCAAAACTCCCTCAAACCAAAACACAAAACCACAGAACAACAACATGGATAAGATCAACCCCACAATTCTCAAGACGGCTCTCAAGGCTATTCCAATACTCACCTCTGACAATTATACCCTATGGAGAAATTGCATATACAAAATTCTTGATCTCCAAGGCCTTTGAGATTCCTTGAATTCCAATACAGGGACCTTGACTAGCTGTCAAGATATCAATCTAAATATGATTATCCCCTCTAAGATTGACTCTTCCATTCATCCTAAAGTTATCAATCATGAAAATGAAAAGAGAACTTGCAAGATTTGGACATCCATCACCAAGCACTTTGCTTCAACCTGGCCTTCAAACTGAGCTCAATTCTTTAATAAACTCCTAGACCTCAACTTTAACCTTTCCAATGTGTAAGAGCGCCGTTGGCTCTACACTACAAATCCGAGGTTTGACAGGCAATTGGCCTGGAGAGAACAAATTCTAGAACCTGAGTGAGATTTTATTTCAAAAGCTAGTTTGGTAGAGGTAAGGGTTAGTGTTCTCTCTACATGATTTTTAGAGATAATGAAAGAAAGAGATATGAAGAAATTTAAGAAGAAACAACTGAGAATGATTATAAAAGACAGGAAGAAAGGAAATTAGGACATAGCTCACGTAGTTTGGTAGAGGTAAGGGTTAGTGCTCTCTACCAAACTAGAAACAATGATTTTTTGTCTAGTATAAGTAATTCTGTTTGTTGGGGTGATTATGTGAGCTATGTGATTGAGCCTGTGAAATCTAGTGTGGCAAGGTTTCACACAATGTTCAAAACTTTATCAAATTGGTTAGAAAAATCAATTCTCAACTCTTTGAAAAAGATCTTGTCACATACATCCTACTCAAGAAGCTTCTGTCAACTCTCACCAACATCAGTCAACAGTCTCTGATTATACTTACCCTACCCAATGACACATCTAGGCCTTGAAATGCTACTGTTTTATAATTGGAGATTGTATTCCAGGGTATTTTGAAATAATATTTAAACTTCATTCTGATTTCATTTCCATTTTCAAATGGTTTTTGAATGGAAAACCCAAAAATTCAACATATTGATTTATGATTTGAGCCATAATTTACAACCCCCATCTAGACAGGATCAGCTCTTCAGAGCTAATAGGGGGTATCCAATATGTGAAATCCAACCTTAGAAACCAGTCACTTTTCCCAAAAAAAAAACATCAATGGGCCCCAAAAGGAGTTGAATGAATTACCAACATGTTTCAAAAACGGTAGATTTTTTCAAACCAGGCAATTGAATAATGGTGGATTTGGTCATATTTGAGACCCCCTAATTCCGAGTTGATCATTGTGAATTTCACTTCTCATCAAACATATAGTCTTTCCAGCGCCTCTAGACACATTCCAAAGTCCAGGATAGGCCAAGTGCCACCCGGGGATTAGAATGTGCCCACAGGGCTTGATCATGCAGGTTGGGTGGGTGGGGGGAGGCAAGTCCTGATGGGCCAATTGGTGGCTCAGGCGCTCCTGGGCACAAGCCCGGCATCAACTGATGTGCACCAGCCTTTGAGAAGGATCATACAACTCCCTCTCAATGACCCGTAGAAACCTAGTCACCAAGGACGGGATATACCCGTCTCAACGCTTGGTATATACAGACAGAATTGCTCAATGATTGGTAGAGTGCTGGTCATTGGGGAGAGTGATTGACCAAGTAGTGAAGTAGAGATGGCCGCTTTGCATCCGGATATCCGCGCGGTTGCAGATATTGGGCTGCTTTTTCTAGGGAAACCGGCATCCGCATCCGCCAGCGGGTATCCCCCCGCCTTAGCGGGTATCCGAGCGGGTATCCTCAGATACCCGCCCTTTAAAGGGCCGGCAAGGGACCGGCTGGAAGGGTTTCCTTCCAGCCGGCGAGGTACATGCTTGACGGCTGGAAGGATTTCCTTCCAGCCGACAACCTACAGGTCTGTGCGGGGAAAGGAATTGCTTCACCCGCTGACGCGTATCTGTTTGGGGAAAAAGGGAACCTCCGACGCCGATCCTGTGACTCTCCCTATGGTAAACGAGTCTCGGAGCCGAAATCCCTTCGAAATGTTCGACAGTTA